TTGCTTTTAGTAGGGAGTTGCTTCAATAGCAGTCCTCCTGGGGTGATTACTATACTCATGCATCATTTGATAAATAGTGCTAGTTGCTAACTGCCTGGTACCTATTTCTCTTTCACACTGGCGCTACTGGTTGGAAGCGGAGCATGAGGGTACAATCACTGGGCTGGTTAGTGAGAAGTAGCGCTGAGTGGTCACCATTGCAAGCGAGTGGACTGAACTAGCTCATATGCCTGCTAGTCATCATACCGAGTCAGCAAGCCCTTACAAATGATGTAGAGTAGTCTTTCTAGCCTAAAAATATCATGTTCGAATTTAGAAATATGTGACACAACAGTCAAGAAAGGCAGGGGAGCGGTTATTTGTTTCGCTCCAAAATTAAACAAAGGCGGTGAGTTTATAAAATGGAATTTGGGCTATTGGTTTGGAAATAGCTGTAATTTGTATAACTTGGCTGTTTAGAACAATATAATGTCAGCCATGATAACCTTACATGAGCAATATATTTTTCACGCTGTGCTCGTTGTTTTAAACAACCACAATGTCATCGGACTGCCAGCTCCATCTGGTCATTTGTGTGCTTGGAATCCAAGTCCCATAAAGCAGCGAGATGATCACATTGGATGATGGATATTGGAGTGTCCTTGCTGCAGCTTACAATGTGATTCCATCATGCAATATCTGCTGCTAATTGATTGAGATGTGTGTTCACATATTATCTTTCTGTCTTACCCGATGTGTTTAATAAAATTGCCAATTTCTGTTATAAATGCAAGATATTGTGAGTCCATGAATGAAATACATAATGATTTTTTGCACTGCTTCTGACAGGGAGTGAGACATCTGACCCTCACAGAAGAGCATGTACATCACACCCCCTATTTCTAGTGACATGTGGTTCAACAATGCCAGTACTCTGGTATTGACCATGTGTCTTCACACGTTATTTTGATCAATGTGTATTTTGCATGGAGGAGATTGGGTGAGGAAATGTCTGTATTCCGCAAATTCATGACACTAGAATGGGTGAGGAGAGGTTAGAAATTAATGAGAGAACATTCTTGCATGCGTACCCACACTAGTGAACGATCTTCGTGTAGTGTTAAATATGTATTCTGATATGCATTCGAAGGATGGTGGAATTATTGGGGTTGTTCTTGTATTCGTCAGACCGCATGGACACATCACCCTCATCATTCTAATTCTCTTTGGTGATGTCTGGTTGTGCAATGGGAGCATCTGCCATTCAGTTGTCTTTGCCATGGTACTCCTTCCCTAGAAGCTCATCGAGGGGGAGTTCAATTGTCGGACAAAAAATGCTGACGCAATTCGTGCAGCCATCACTGATTCCTTCGCTATAGGTTATGTGATTCGATAGGTGGGGGTGGGGCAGAGGAGATGAGCTGTGCCAATTGTGTTGTTTATATTAGGCCATGACTTTTTATAAGACGAGTAATTGGTTGCCATTCATTGACAGTAGACACTTATCCAGCGATAAATAGCTGTGGCATTGGAACAATGCCACAGCTACAACGTTAACGAAGTTGAAGTGCTCGAGGGAAATGCTGTTGATTTTGACGAGTTGGATCGGGTTGAACAAGGAATAATATCACAGGTAATTCTAGATGAGGTTGAGGTGGTTAATTACAATGGCGATGGTGGCGGATGGGATGAGGTAAAATATTGATGTCATCGTTAGGAATGTTGTATACATAGTCTGCATAGCGCCTAGAGTTTTGCCACCCTGGCAAAACAACCGGTATTTCCAGTTTTTCCGGTTATAACAGGCAGAACTAAATCCAAATAGTTCTGCCCCCCACACTAGGGATAAGTGATAATTTGTTTTTTCATTGTTTGCCATACAGATAGCAATCAATTGATTCGATAATAATCGTCTGATACTATCAATGATGGCTGTAAACATTCCCCTCGAGCTTGTCATGAAGATCTTCACTCTCGCCACTCATAGACGAGAGGAAGCAGCATCCTGGATTTGTGTTTCCAAAAGGACCTACATCTTGTGAGCGTTCGATGCCATGTTCAATCCTTTCCCTCTCTCTACTTATCCTGTACATACAGATTTGAAAGATTATTGTATAATAAGGTCGTCTTCAATGATGAAGACCATGCATTCAGATTCTTGGAATGCTACCGCCTTCGGAAAACGCATATCGATCCTCCTCCATCAACTACAGCGATGGTTCTCGGCTATGATATCACGTACACTACCCTAGTCGAGATATTGTCACTCTGCAAAGATATCACCAACCTTTCCATAGCATCCATCGACGAGGACTTCATTCCTGACCTCACAAATCTGCATCACGTACTGGAACCCATCCACCTCACGGTGCTCTGTTTACACATCAGATTATCGCTCACTCACTCTTCCATGGTGATGGCAAACACGTTCGCTACATTGACGCATCTTGAGATAGAAGATAAGGAAATGCTTCGCCCTGTTGACATGAACGCCTTCCCCAAGTTGACCCACCTGGCGCTATGGTTCGTCTTCATCAACGCAGGAGGGGACTTCCCTGGCGTTGTGAAGCGTCTTCTCCAACATGCAACCCTGCAAGTCCTTGTATTCCGTGTCGATGGTCACAGCGAATGTGCAACGTTCCTGGAATCCCGTGGAATCGTGGATCGTCGCATTATCATCGGACCTTCACGAAGGTTTGTATGGGATGATTTTGGACATGGTGACATGTTACTCTGGAAACTCGCTGACGACAGGGCCAACATGCCTGCCCCAAACCACAGTAAGTACATCTAGTTCAATTTGACATATTAGTTTCAAGTGACAAAATCACATAGAAAAGCACCGCTGCTTCTCTAACAGCACGTTTGAAAATAGATTCAGGGATTATAAGGGGCTTCCTCGAGTTCCTGAACGCGATGTGGACCGTGGGTTCCGACTGTATTATGGACCTGGGGATTCGTCGGATTGAGCTGTGTGATCCAGTTTGATGCGCAATGGTTCCAGGGACGAGGAGACAGAGGTGGATTCTAATGATGAGGACATAGAAGAGGATTCCCTCGATGAGGACGTAGAGGAGGATTCTCCCACCGAGGACAAAGACGAGCAGAGTTGTCCAGGAGTATATTTGACGCTGTTGGCTCTCTTGTGTACAATACATCAGTTTTGATACCTAATATTCAAACACGTATGACAGCTCACAAATGCAACTACCGATTGGCGGAAAACATGATGTGAGATGGAATAAACTTATAGCGGTCAGAGGAAGTCGTGTGATCAAGTGCACCGAGAGTGTAGTTGCCAGTCAATGATCCCGGCAAGAACGAAGAAACTGCTTCTCCCTCAGGATGAATGAACGATATTACCGCAGCCATCAAGCCATTGATGGCGAAATACATTGCGAGTGACCTTCTTTGTATTAGGCCATGACTTTTATAAGACGAGTCATTTGTAGCAGAGGAAGAAATGCCGTTGTGACTGGATGCAGGGTGAGAAGAACCATGGTTAGTTCCAGAGGATTCATCATGTCTCTTGCGCTTGGAATCCCCTCGTAATCCAGCGAGCAACTGGCCAAGATCAGGCGCCTACCTCACTATGAGATGAGATTGGCAGAAACTGACATGTCATTATTTTGCCTCAAAGTATGGTCAATATGTATTTAATCATGATACGGCGATGACCTGTTATATAGGCGCAACAAAGGCAAAGCCACCAAGCGTTTTTGGTCTTCATTTGTATAACGTGGTTGTTTAGAACAATATAATGTCAGCAATGATAACATTAATTGAGTGCCATAATTATCACACCGCGCTCTTTCTTTCAAACCATCAACATGTCATCAGACCATCAGCCCAAAAAGCAGCAAGACTATCACACGGAAGGATGGGCATCGGAGTGTCCTTCCTGCGGCTTACAATGACTCAAATCACAATCTGTGCAATGAGGTCGATATCCCGCTCATCCGATTCATGACAAAATTCCCAGCATCTACTTGCAGCAATACCATTGATGTGCAGTTCATGCCTGGTGCAGCACGTCACACTCCTCATTTTGAGCTGACAGTCGGGCAATCTCTCTGTATGAATAAATGTGTCATGTTCCATGAAGTGCCATACAATCCAGTGGAGCAAGTAGTGACGTGTCAATACCTCGATGCCATATTTGTGATCTCACCAAATTGCCCAGTTGATATCCACGGTACGTGTTTATGCGCGTCATTCCATTTGAAATTATTGATGAATATGATAGATGTTAGGAAGCGATGCAATGATCATGTGAACACAACCATTACGGGCACGATTGGTTCATTTTTCACATCGATGAACGATCCCACGAAGATTCAATGCATCCTTGATATACCTCTCGCACATGTCAGCATGCCATATGGTATCATGTACGTCCGATATTTTCTGATTATCGTCGCACATTGCTGATGGTCAGTTTAAGGCAACTCGATCATGGTCTCATGCATGGTTGGAATCAAACTACTCGCTCAATTCCGATCAGGTCCAAGGTCCATGCTAAATATTTCACTGCCAAGGGATGGGGTTACTGCATCATGCTGGATTTCTAACCCATCCTCGTCATGAGGCTGATGGGATGTTAACCTGGATGAGGATGGAGGCTGGTCTCAAATTTTAGGTCATATTCCGGTTAAAAAGCAGAGGCACAGATCGCATTCATCTACAGGAGCTTGCCGCAAAACTTGCCAAATACACAGCACACACCCAATGGCTCCAGAACAACTGCGACGGAGAGCCAATCACTCTCCGGCCAGGAGATATGTTGTAAGTACATGAAGTGCTGAAATTTCGATCGCTAATGTTCCATGGAATCAGGATAATTCCTCCTGGAATGGTGTACGCCGTGTACACGCCAATCGCATCATTTGCTACTGGAGGACATTTCTATCATTATTCTTGAATGCACCTCACGCATCTTTCCCGGTACATTGACGCCGAAGTCGGAGATTCTCCTGCTCATGAAGCTCTTAATCATTCCATAGAGACCCTGCGTCGCATCGTTATAATGATTCCATATCTTTCCCCAAGAATAGGTCAGTACCAATGTGCTCTATAGAACGATCCGGCTGATCATGCCAGTAGTGTTTCCAAAAGATCACTCCTGAGTCTTTACATCATGGTAACGAAGGGACGACAGTATCGTTCAAAGGATGGCAGTCCACAGTATGTGGATGAGACCGGGACAGCACAAGCAAGCGCTGATCTCAGCGATGTCATAATTCGGCGTTTTGGAATATCGAATTAGTAAGATTGCAGAGGAGATTGTATACTTTGGCAATCAGCACAACCCAGGTCTTGCCATAGACCGTGCGGATATACTTCACACGTTGAAAGATTCGCTATGGTTATAGGATTAGGCTCCCCTGTAAATAATGCGTCTGCCGTTGTACTTTGGCTCTCATCGTGAAGTCTTCGCGGTGATTTTTCCATAATTTTCTGACTCACTTGTGTGGAGCATGGTAATCATAATATAGAACTGCACCAAAAATCCATACCCAAATGCCAGGATAATATCCTGGCTACTGATGATAGCATTAAGTAATAGAAGGTGCACAGGCACACGAGATGTCATAGAACCAGGATCAGTGCCATCGCACTGTGTCCTCTTACAATTTGAGTAAGTTTGAGGTTTTCTCTTATTTCGTGATGGTACATAGCTGTTGTCACCAACTGTCATAGCAGCACGCATAGAGGTACGTCGAATCACCACCTATCAATATTATATAGGAATGCTCACAGGATTTCCCAATGCTGCAGAGTGTTCTGACAGCTGTCGCTCTGCATCAATTTTTGTTTGCTGGTTACTTACACCGTCTGCATCACCCTCGATGTCTGTCTGGTATGCTGAGCATAATTGTTGCACCATCTAGATTCAATGTATGACAGCAAGATTTTTCTCGTGTTCAGAGTCTTAAAAGGCCTTTAAAATCCTTGATGTCACTTGTAAATTTCCCAACTCTATGCTCACACACTGTTTCACGCCAGGCTTAACAGATTTCTTTGTTTTTTTTCCATACCCAAAGAGTCCGTACTAAATACAATGTGCTCTTGGCGTTTCCTTATTTTAATTTTGTGTAGCTGTTGTGTTATGAAAAACTGGTCAGACTATTTGCAACTCTGAACTGGAGACAGTGTTGTTATTATTGCTGTGGCGTGAGAATGTCACGTGATGTGAAGTTCATATGTTGCGCTTTAGCAAATTTTCCCTCTTTCTTTCTTACCATTACCTTCACAGGTGGTTTCTCGCCTTTTTGGGCGTTCACTGTCGATGATGGTGGCCACCTTCCTCTTCCTTGTTCCACTCCTACCACGCATGCAACCCTTGGACTGTGGCAGATGGTTTCTCGCCTCTATGGGCGTTCACTTTCGATGATAGTGGCCATCTTCCTGTCCTTGGGCCATGCTGGTAGCTTCTTTCATTCTACTTGGTTGACTGGTGGTTTCTCGCCTCTATGGGCGTTCACTTTCGATGATCGTGGCCATCTTCTCCTTGTCCATTCCTAATCTTCCTGTCCTTGGGCCATGCTGGTAGCTTCTTTCATTCTACTTGGTTGACTGGTGGTTTCTCGCCTCTATGGGCGTTCACTTTCGATGATCGTGGCCATCTTCTTCTTCCTTGTTCCATTCCTACCATGCATGCAACCCTTGGGCTGTGGCGGATGGTTTCTCGCCTCTATGGGCGTTCACTTTCGATGATAGTGGCCATCTTCCTGTCCTTGGGCCATGCTGGTAGCTTCTTTCATTCTACTTGGTTGACTGGTGGTTTCTCGCCTCTATGGGCGTTCACTTTCGATGATCGTGGCCATCTTCTTCTTCCTTGTTCCATTCCTACCATGCATGCAACCCTTGGGCTGTGGCGGATGGTTTCTCGCCTCTATGGGCGTTCACTTTCGATGATAGTGGCCATCTTCCTGTCCTTGGGCCATGCTGGTAGCTTCTTTCATTCTACTTGGTTGACTGGTGGTTTCTCGCCTCTATGGGCGTTCACTTTCGATGATCGTGGCCATCTTCCTCTTCCTTGTTCCACTCCTACCATGCATGCAACCCTTGGACTGTGGCGGATGGTTTCTCGCCTCTATGGGCGTTCACTTTCGATGATAGTGGCCATCTTCCTGTCCTTGGGCCATGCTGGTAGCTTCTTTCATTCTACTTGGTTGACTGGTAGTCTCTCGCCTCTATGGGTGTTCACTATTGATTATTGTGGCCACATTTCTTCATCGTCCCATCCCCCATATATTTTGTCTTAAGAGTTAGCCTGTGTCAGTGTGAGATGATTCGTGTAGGACACATGTGATTGAAATAAATTGGTGCTTGAAATATAACATGTTCAATTGTGTCTGGATTCATCATTAGGGCGTGTATAATTCTGATAGCATGTATCTCTGCCCGTGAGTATGTCACGAGCACGAACACTGGTCTTGGACATACAATACAGGATTACCTCTGTTGAGGCCTAAAGTGATTAAATCATGTGGGTGATTCAGATGTCGCCGGATTGACTACCAGATTCCTTAGTGTTGTTCATAGTGCCTGAATGGTATAAGGACGATATTCGGGCGCAAATGAACGAGTAGTGCATTGTCTGAATGCAAAAGTGGATGGTGATTGAAAATGCTGGGCAACACTCAGCTCGATGGCCTTGGAGCAGATACCTGTAACCTGCCCCATGATTATGAATGTTCGCGGTGAAACTTGTGAATGACACTCCAGGCGTGAAAACGTGACTGACAAATTATAATGTGAGAGGTGAATGTATGTAATTAATGATAACGTGAACGATGCATTGCAGGTACATACCTCAATAGAGCCACTACGTAATACTCGGATCCGTGACCTCGTGAGCGGGAAATATGAAGCGAAAAACCATGATAGTGTAATAGCAACTTATGTCAATGGCTGCCGTCAGATATACTTGCAACAACGATAAGGCACCATCATGCACAGTGCGGCGAAACGTGTATTTCTTTCTAGATAAGTCGAACAATGATATAAATTGTAGTGTGTACATGAATTGCCCGTTGTCACACTATTTGATCAGGAACAAGGTGCCGCTGCAACATTCTCATCTATCAGCAGTGATGTTTTCCGCACTTCCACTGGAGATCCAGCAGTATATTTTAGCTCTTTCTACTCATGAGAAACATTCTGCTGCAAGAAATATGAGGGCGTCAATGAAGACATATCCGTGGTTATTATTTCATGCTATAATACGCAGAACGCCTAAAGTAACACATTTCATAACACTTTGACTGTTGCCAAAGTCTGATATGCTGGCAGTTACTAGGGCTGTTGTAACTGATACTTGACCGAACCTACCTAGTTCGCGAGGCGCTTGCTCCACCTGGCCACAAATAAAACACGTGTGCATTGTAATTTAGCGAACTGTGAGCCGCGCCCATGCCATGCATGCCAGTATGGAAATATGGCATCATGCACGTGTCGTGCGACATGTGTTGCCTTATTGTGGATATATAATAGTGGTGGTTAGATGATTCTGGTATTCCCGATCAGCCATGTTCGCTCAACTTCCACTGGAAATTCAGGAAATAATATTGGCTCTTGCGAGTCGCTGGAGACGATATGCGGCTTCAAACTTGACGGTCTCGCGCCAGACACATCCCTGGTGAGCAGCCAAATTGACAATGCACAAAAAGGGTTGAACTCAGCGACTATTACAACAGGATGGAACGAATGTTATATAAAAGCATCGTTCTCCGTGGTGACAATAGGGTCAAACGATTCCTTGCCTGTATTTTGTGTCGTCCAATGCACATGGACTTTGCACAAAGATCAATAAAATCTCTGTGTGTCTTCGGCAATGTGTCAGAATCTACATTAATCGACCTCCTGGGGCTTTGCAAAGGGATCACATGCCTTTCCCTCGCAGTTTATACAGATGCGTTCTGTGATGATCCTTCATTGCTGCTGCGCGCCCTAGATGTACTACCACTAAAGTCATTGGTGATATCCATGGAGGTCAATTGCACATCTGCAATCAACACATCGAGCGTGTTCCAGAGTCTCACTCATCTCGATATTGCCGATCAATTGTTGCTGGACGAATCACAAACAGGCTTAGAAGATCTTCATTCGTTGAGTCACCTGTTTGTGATTCTTATAACCAAGAAGTCAATCGCGGAGTCTGTGAAGCGCCTTCTCAGTAATGTACAGCTGCGAGTGCTTGGGTTACGAGTCATGGAGCCACACAAAGAGGTAATATCATGGCTGAACAAATATAGCATGAACGATCCTCGAGTCGTGCTGTTGCCGAAGGAATGGACATGCTGGGCCAAGCTAGGCCAGGGAAGCATGTTGGTCTGGGAGTTAGTCGATGAAATATTACAATCGCCACAACCGAAGGAAGGTATGTCGTTCCATTAAAATAATTGATGCGACAAACGCTGAGAAATTAATGCGGAAGGGCATCGCTGTTTGTTAATCCACACGATAAGAAATAGATACGCAGAATATAACGACATCAAGAGGGGAAGGGGATTTGACCCAATGTCGTGCTCCCAGGCACTCCCAAAGAAGCAAATGCGATGGTGCGCTCCCAAACATGCTCGATGATGGCACATAAATATGACTACAGATAGGCACAACGGATGATGTGACTTTGAACCATGTGATAGACGTTGATCCTCTACTCTGGGTGATGTAGCCATAACTATGTGCCATACAGTGTTACTTCTATTAGGTTGACGAGCATAATAAATACGATGTATATTCTGAGCTAATCGACATCCATTTCATCATCTCTCTCCACTGATTCTCCTATGTCCATAGGAAATGGCCTTGATTTCCGAGGACGTGGGGGAGGGGGAACCCTCTTGTTTCTCTTGGCCATCGTCATCTTCTTCTGAATCTCCCGACGCTTTTGCCTCGCTGTCTTTCTCCGGACATTGCCATCCGTGTCGAATGGCTGTGAGTCCATCAGGTCAGCTGCAAATATGCGCCTGCCCTTGATCAACTTCATGGCACGACGTGCTCTTGGGGCTTTCCTTTGACTCTCTGCCCCCCTTCCAACACAGTCGATCCTGTAAAATGCAGGATTTGTTGTGAATAATATGGCATCGTTCCTCTGTATCCACACTCTCTGACTGCTTGCAGGAAGACAGTGCAAGTCTGAAAATACTTCGTGTAACCCTTTCTTGAGCAATTTCTGCTGATCCTCCGCCATTGCCTTCATTATCTTGTGAAACTCCGCGATGTATCCATCTCCCTCCCAAAGCGTAGACCACTGAGTGTTGTTTTTATGGGAGGCATCAGGGTCAGGAAAGAATAGCGAGCACCTGTCCGCAAATGTTCTCGACTTTGGACCCATGCGACCTGGAGTTACACCTGTACTGTCATGCAGCCCAGCATTGCACGCTTCGAAGGCAACTGCACTGAGCGTATCATCGATGCTTGTTATCGTCCAGCACTTCATGGCCTCCTGGAGCGAGTTTGGGTGGGGTTGGATGCCTTTGAATACTTCGGGTGTCAGCATAAGCCACATCTGCCTCGTGAACATGACGATCAAACGTCCGACAGAGAGTTGAGTGTTGGATAACCTGGACGACCACATCCATGGTCTCATAATCATTGCAGGTGAGTTTGCAAGGGCTGCCTTAAGTCGGGTCCATGTCGGTGTCCGAACCAATGGGATAGTCCTCCAGCTCTGACTCAGAACTTCGCCATGCATGCATCCTTCCTACTGCTCTATCCCTCTGAGCCTTTGCATTGACGCCCATCAGGGCCAGGACATTCACGTCATCGATTTGCTGGACCTCCTCCAGGCAGGTATCGCTGTCCAAATCGAATTCCTGTAAGAAAAACATCCCTGCTGTCTCGAGGACATTTCTATATTCAAGGAGGGCGAGGGATTCGCGGACGTGAAAGTCATAGACGATAGGGGTTGATGTAGTTGAGCGAAGCATGTGGTTTAGCAAGCCAGTAAGAATCCCGAGATTTGGAGGATTCTTTTTGACGATGGATATCTGGGTCCTCTGAATCTCCCGCACCCGCCGCCTGATAAGCTCGAACCAGATTTTGGATGGGACCCACAGGATTGGATCTGACTGCAGGTATTCTCTAGCCTACATGTAAATTATCGCCAGAGATATTCAGCTCGCATTCCAATCATACATGAAATGCAGATTACCGACCTTGCTTTCCCATATTATCCAGCATTATTCTGGCTGCATGTCCACTGACCCTATACTCGTCCCTAACACCATATGTTTTATCCTTGCAACCATCGACAAACCTTTGCGATTTCGAAGCATTCAGCCATGTAAGATGGGGACAGCTTGTATGCATTCACTGTCAGATGCGAAATTCGCTTGGTTGTTGTTTCGTCCGTATTGACTCATAGTAGAGGTTGTAGGTGCCTCCTGAATGCGATGTGGGTTTGTTGAGATCTTCTCCTGCTGCATCTCGGCCTGCATTGGCCCCCATATCTAGAGAGCGTGTTGTGATGATTATTTCACCCCTCTTGTAGCCTCCTGCTCCAAATGATGCTCCCAGGAGCGCAGTCTAATCTCTCACACTCCTACCACTGGAGACATCTGGGGAGTGAGGCGGTAAATGAGATCCCCACGTCCACCAGCAGCTCGGCCATGCCTCCTGTTCATCATGTATGGCCAGTCAAGGTCGGACCGATATTTCGACGCAGTGCCCTCTCCGGCCCTTCGAAACGCCTCGCCTGACCATCCTTGGTAAGGAGCTTGATTCCCTTTCCTTCTAGAATAAAGAAGACGACCCATACATGCTCAGCTCGCCCTCTCCATCGCGTATGCGAGCTTCCAATGCGCTCCTGCACATCCATGAGTCATCATTCGACAGTGGTATGGTCTTTGGAGCGCCCATCCAGCCTTTCGTCCATCACCCCTCTAGCCTTGTCTCGTGCCTCCTCCCAATGTGTGCTTAAGGTAAGGACGCCCAACTAACATCAGTGCGTCACCCTATGGATAGAAGTAGCACTCTATCCCAAAAGATGTCCAAAGTTTCCTTGGCATCAGCGTGATTCTTCGCCCATTTACTGGGTGTTGATGTATCATCCTAGGAAATGCGATATATAAGATTGAGTGTCGATGAAGCCGAGGGATTGCGCCCAATACCGGTATGAGGGATGGCAGACATCGGAGAAATCGTTTGACAACCATTCTGTCCTACCACCGGGCGCACTGGCATCTGCTTCTGACTGTGGAATTGTGATGTCGACATATGTGTGATTGTGCTTGAATATGCCAGGTTTCGTTTGAAATGACGGAGTGAGATAGATCCCCACGGACCCCATGCATCGGAACTCCTTCGTGGTCCAAATGATACTGTCTATGTCTAAAGAAATCTCTATTTCGTCTTCTGAAAATCTAACGGAATCTCGTTCAAGGTCGACATACAAGGACGTGCCATCGCCATAACGATGACTGGTGCAGCCACGAACAAAGGCGTTGTGTCCGAACCTACATTGATGATGGAGTGGGGGATCATGTTGGGCAGAGTCGATCAGTTCAGATGCAGCCAGAATTTCTACATCTGCGACGTGCGTTTGACGTGCTCCCCCATCTGACCCTAGTCGAGCCAGACTATATGCGCCTGTTACGCGGTCTGGAACCTGACTTGAAGGATCATGGGAGTCGGTTGTGCCAATGGGCATGACATGGTCCATGGTGGCTATGGGGTCGCATTGATAGAATATATGGAATGAGCTAGGGGTGATGCGGTAGCCATGATCAACCCAGTGCACCCAAGCAGTGGAGATCTGGATTCCTCCCGCCTGGAATGTCATCGCCTGATTGATTTCCCTGGGAGTTACTAACATCTCGATCGTTGGTCCACCTTCATAATCGTCGAACGTGCGGTCATCGGGAATCCACCTCCGACCTGCATATGCAGCCAGAGAGCGCGGTGCAATGGGACGTGGAAATCGTTTGTTGCTTCCAAGATGCCAATCTTTCACTCTCCTACGAGATGCTGAGGCGGATACAGAGCGTTGTGAGTCGGTGGTATCCTGGACATCAGGTTGCGTGTCCGGCTCGACTTGAATGTGCGTGCCAACCGCACGAGGGACTATATCATTCCGATTTCGAGATCCAGTCAGTTGCTTGATTGCTTTGAAAAGCTTCGGAGGTTCTTCTTTCTACCCGTAGGCAGGGTCGTACCCATGGAATCCTCTTCATCACTCCGTTCAGCGTCACAACCATCCTCCTGATCGACTGGGGTTCGAACTCCATTCTTGCCATTGTGTGAGGGGTGATCCATCTCCTGATTTACCACGGGACGTTGACATATTGAGCAGGTTGCGCTAACAACGGTCAATTTCCGCAGGAGCTTTAGGCATTCAGCCTGGTGCCGCCCATTCTGAATCGCATTGATGATATCTTCGCCTGGCAGCTCGTCCTCTCGCCATTCCTCTCGTGCGACATCAAGGAGCATGAGATAGTCGCTACAACAGAGCCTGACACGACCAGCAATCAGACCCAAGATCTGGATGCGCAGCTTGTGGCCGCACTGAACTTGAAACACTGGCAAGTTACCGTGCTCATCTAATCCAGCGCTGAGGCATTGCTCGAGCACGGAGCAAGCAATTGGACCGCAATCTACTCCATTTTGCTCCCAATCCATTGATATCACAGACACATCAGCGACATCCCCTGTGCCCCAGCCTGAAGGCAC